TCTCTCTCTCTCTCTCTCTCTCTCTCTCTCACACACACACACACACACACACACACACACACACACACACACACACACACACACACACACAGACAACCACGCCCTCTCGCTGGATCCTCTCTCGCCTGCCCCCAACAGTCAAGCAAACAGTCTCTTTCAATGTCTCCTGGTCCTTGATTAATCATCACAAACCAATTAATACATCCATGGCCCCGTTTTCTTCGGGATTGTCCCTCTCCTCTTCTCTCTCCTCTCCTCTTTACCTCTCGTCATTCCCCTCCATTACTACATTACGTCTTCTCCTACAGCCATTTCCATCCCAGCCCATCCCATCCCATCCCATCCCAATCCCATCCCAATCCCAATCCCATCCCTACTCAGTCAACACATAGCATCTAAGCTGGCTGTCATCTCCTCAACGGATTTCATCCCGAAGGAAGCTATGTCCTCTTGGCCGTATTCTGACTCGATCACTGCGAGAACCCTCCCATGAGCTTCGAGGATATTACTCTTGATTGGCTTGAACAAAATGCTCAACGTGCTTGAGTTGAGCAAGTAGAGTCTCATCTTGTCAACGGCCTCAGGAAGGTCTTTCGCGATGGCATCGTTGACTGTGGCCACCATCTCTGCTACCCTCTCCGGCGATGCAAAAGCTTGCTCCCTCAGCGCTTTCCCTCCTCCTCCTCCTCCGATTCCCTCCACTGCCGACCCGAGATCGATTCCCAAGTAGGAAGAAGCAGAAGAAGAAGAAGGAGAAGAAGAAGAAGAAGAAGAGGCGGCAGCCTTACTTGCTTCTACCTTCGTGATAAATGAGAGGAAAGGTTCGACGGTCATCTTTGTCAAGGACATGATCAGCTGCTCGCATGTTGCTTTCAGCGTCTTCTCGAGTTCCTTCTTGGAATCCACGTGACTCTCTAGCACACGTGGCGCGCCCTGATTAATTAATCGCAGAAAAGCGTTGTTCGCCGTCAACGTGAAGAGAGAGGCTTGACCCCTCATAATTCGTCGGAGGTAATCAAGCATCTGGGAGAAGTCGAGTTCCTTGTGTGTGGCCTGAAACTCCATATCGAAGGGCGCAATCTGTTCGCCAAGCAGTAACAAATGCTTGATGAGGAACAGCTGACCATCCATGACGGAAGAAGTGCGGGAGATCATACGACTGCCAAGCTGTACGGACGAGTGACACGTGGCAATGGCTTCTTGAGCGAGAGCGGTAAAAATTGTGGGTTCAACGCAGCGGTACAATTTCGATAGGCAGGAGATGGTTCTTTCCAAAGGAGGAAACCAAGGGGAGGATGCCGAAGCATCCCCTCCGCCTCCTCCTCCTCGTTCTTCTCCTAATGAAGACAGAAAATCGTCGTCGAGATATCCATCACCACCAGAGCCTGCCGCCGCCTGTCGATCAGCAGCAGCACCACCTGCTGCTCGAATCAGCTTGTCTGGGTAGTCCACGTCGTCTGGGGTGATGGAGTAATTAGCAATCTCATCACGCATGTACGTTTGCGCGCGAAAGATGAGCCTTTCTTGCACGTCCGCAAGGGTTCGCCGAACAGTCGGGCGCAGCCCCCCCACCGCCTCCCCTCTCCTTCCCATTTGCTCCTCCAGAACTTCCACCTTGAGAATATCCACTAATTCGCACAGCAGGTCGAGATCCGTCTCCTGCACCAGTCGCGGCCGCAGTCGATCGTACAGGACCGTACATAACGGCTCGATCAATGGCGCCAGATTGATCGAATCTGTTGCCGAATTAGGAAAGAAATGATCGAACAACTGATGCTCTAATTGGCACACCTGCATAAGGTAGGCCAACCCAGAACGAGCGAGGGTAGCGAGAGGCTGAGTCCTAGCGTACTCTGATATCCGATGCTGAACTACTTTCAAGACGAGAGAGAGCCGTTGATCGCAATACAAAGACTGACAGTCTGCCAAAAGACGGCTGTATTCCTTTCTACCAGATCTTGCCTCCAACTCCGCCATCAAGGACTTGAGGTCCGACGCCGCAGCTTTAAAGCGCACGTAAAGAAGGGACGTTTCCGCACCCTCCGCAACAACTCCCGCGCCTCCGCCGCCTCCCCCTCCTGCTGCGCCGCCGCCGCCGCCGCCGCCGCTTCCTCCCCCTCCTGCTGTTCCGCCGCCGCCGCCGCCACTTTCTCGTATCGCACTTTGAACCTGCGCTGACGCGTGGCGCAAAACCGACAGCACGTGCGTCCTTATCATCCCGATCGCCCTTGAGTGCAATTGCCGGAATTTGACTAAGTACACGTTGGCATCCGCGTATTGGAGATTACCCTCCACGTAAGTGATGCACTCATCGAGCCGCTTGAGCAACGGAATGAACTGGCTGTTGTTCCCAACAGCCATCGTAGGGGAGTGGAACTGGGTCGCTATTTTCTCTAATTCGTCGAAGTAATCAAGCTTGCTCCTGAGCGCATTAGCGTACTCGATAAGTCTCTCCTTCTCCGTGACCAGTCGATCACAAGCGTCGTGCAGAGTCTTCGTCTTGACTGCCACCGCACGGTGCTGCGCCTGCAGATCGTCGAAAAGCCCTAGAGTGCCGTCAATCAGCTTCATGATCTCATCACAGGTGAGCAGATGAGAGGACAAGTTGTCCAAGTAGTGTCTATACTTCTCGTCGGTTTCCGATTTCATAGCCGCTTCCAGCTCGCCATGCCACTTGTAAAACTGGTGGCTGTTGTGCAATGGAGGGAGGCGATGAGGAGGAGGATGCGTGGAATCTTGCGCTTGCGCCGTCGAGAGAGCAGAGGGGGAGGACGATGGCGCGGCGGCGGCGGAAACTGCCGAACTCGACCTCTCCGCACTGGCGGGCGCCTCTTGTCCCGACATCGTTAGGTCTAATCGCGCCACGTGGCTGGGCAACGGCCTCTCAGAGGCCACGTGTGCCAGCAAGGATATAGTGTTCAACTGCTCCTCCGAAAGCGGCGCATTCTGTTCCCATGCCGATGCAAAGCTGTAACCTTTCGTCACCGCCAGCGGCCGTTGAGGTGGGGCTGTCGAACCCCCTCCTCCTCCTCCTCCTCCTCCTCCTCCTCCACCACCCCCTCCCCCACTCCCAACGACCGGCACAGTATGCAAGCCGACGGCGGCAGCCATCGCCGCGGCAGTTCGCCGGCGACGACAGTGCCCGCCAAAACCGGAAGACAGAACAAGTCAACAGCGCGGGAGGGAGGGAGGGAGGGAGGGAGGGAGGGAGGGAGGGAGTACCACCTACCTACACCTCCAACACCCGATCACTTTCACCCTCAGAACGACGAATTCATACAATCTCCTCCCGCCGTCCGTAACTGGCCATCTCCATCTCCGACCCTCCCGATCCTCCGACTCCGAAATGATCCCGGCGGGCTACGACCTCCACCCCTCCCCCCATTCCACCTTCCTCATCTCTCTTCTTCCACACATCACATGCATCACATGCGTCGTACAAACTGACCGACCGGTGGCTTCAGTCAGACCATACTTGGCGCTTGCACTTTTCGGGCTCGGGAGTTGTCGAACTCGCACTACCGGTAGTCGCAGTTTTCGAACCGAATCTGGCAGCAAATCGCGGTCGCGTTCATAAGCGAAAGCCCCCTCGTGCGAGCACAAATCTCAGCTTCTACCCACCTTGGCACTGCCCCTGCCAGGGGCTCGACACCTGCCCTCCGTCGATCATCATCACTTGGATCGTTCGTTCATGAGCGTGTGAGCAGGAGCGGCTACCCGACGCGAAGGTTCCCAATACCACGCGGCGGTCACTTGGGGTTGAACCCTGGGCACGGACTCCAGACACCGTAACTGGGCCTCTTTCTGTCGGACTGGACTGCTCGGGGCCTCCTGACGTATATATATATATATATA